TTATAAAATGCTTAGCACAGTGCCTGAACATAATAGGTGCTACACAAATATTCATTCTCATTTCTCTAATCAATAGGGATTTAGAGCATTTTTTTTCATATGACTATAGATGGCTTTAATTTCTTCATCTGAGAACTGCCTGTTCATATCCTTTGGCCATTTCTCAATTGGGGAATGACTTGTATTCTTATAAATTTTACTTAATTCTCTACATATTTTAGAAATGAGGCCCTTATCAGAGAGACTGGTTGTAAAAATTCTTTCCCAATTTTTTGCTTTCCTTCTAATCTTAGTTGCATTGGCTTTGTTTGTGCAAAAACCTTTTCAATTTAATGTAATCAAAGTTATTCATTTTGCATTTCATAATGTTCTCTATGTCCTGTTTGGTCATCAGTTTTTCTGTTCTCCATAAATCTGATGTGTAAAGTATTCCTTGTTCTCCCAGTTTGCTTACAGTATCAGCCTTTATATTAAATCATGAACCCATTTTGACTTCATTTGAGGTACCATATCACATCTATGAGATTGGTCAACATGATAAAACAGGAAAATTGTAAATGTTGGAGAAGATGCGGGAAAATTAGAACACTAATGCATTATTGGTGGAGTTGTAAAATGATCCAACCATTTTGGAGAACAATTTGGAACTATTCCCAAAGGGCTATAAAAATGTGCATACCCTTTGATCCAGCAATAGCACTTCTAGGGCTATATCCCAAAGAGATCATACACATGGGAAAAGGAACTACATGTACAAAAATATTTATAGCAGCTCTGTCTGTGGTGGCAAAGAATTAGAAATTGAGAGGATGTCCATCAATTGGGGAATGGCTGAGCAAGTTGTGGTATATGAATGTAATGGAATACTATGGGGCTATAAGAAATGATGAGCAGGCAGACTAGAAAAATCTGGAAAGGCTTATATGGACTGATGCTGAGTGAAGTGAGCAGAACCAGGAGAACACTGTACACAGTAATAGCCATGTTGTACAATGATTCATATTGATAGATTTAACTCTTCTCAGCAATAGAAGGATCTAAGACATCTCCAAAGGCCTCATGATGGAAAATGCTATCCACATCCACAGAAAGAACTATGGAGTTTGAATGCAGATCACAGCACACTATTTGCTATTTTTCTTTTGTGGTTTTTTTTTTTTTTTGCTTCCTCTTTCTGGGGGTTCCTCCTGTTGGTTCTAGTTCTTCCTTACAACATCACTAATATGAAAATATGTTTAATAGGAATGTATGTGTATAGCCTATATCAGACTGTGCTCTGTCTTGGGGAGGGAAGGGGAGAAAAATTTAAAACTCAAAAGCTTATGGAAATTATTGTTGATAAATCAAAATAAATTAATAAAGTTAAAAAAAGAAAAAAATGTTCATTCTCTTCTCTTCTTTCTGTGCTTCAGTCACCATAAAGTTTTAAATGAGTTACATTCTACCACAGACTACACAAGTGATATCCACAGACTACATTAGAGTGAGCCTCTGAGATCTGGCAAAGAAACAAACTGAGGCAGATTTTAAATTCCCTGATAGGCTGCTTGGTGGCTCAATGGAGAGGGCACTGGACCTGGAGTCAGGAAGATCTGAGTTGAAATGTAGCTTCAGACACTTACTAGCTGAGTGACTGTGGTCAAGTCACTCAATGCCTATTTGCCTCAGTTCCTCATCTGGAAAATGGGGGTACACTGAAGAAGGAAATGACAAACCACTCTAGTATCTTCTCCAAGAAAACCCTATAGACTGTCCATAGGGTCATATAGAGTCAGACATGACTGAATGACTGAACAAAACAATAGGCAAATAAATACAGGAGGCATCATGGCTCTAGGAAAAAGTCTGGCATTTGTAATCAGAAGACCTGGGTTTAAATTTTGGCTCCTCCACTTACTATTTATGTGATAATAAATGACTTCATCTCTCTGGGCCTCAGTTTCCTTAATTATAAAATAAGAACATTGGGCCTTATGAGCTCCAAGACCTCTTATAAGTCTTAATTAACAATCCTTTGCCTATGTCTAGTATCCACAATGTAGAGGAAATCGTAATGAGTAAACTGTGCCATATGAAAAGAATTGCTTGCCATTATTCTTGTTCTATTGCAATCCCTTCAGAGATCCTTGATTGGATCCTTATGAAGGCACCACCTATCACTGTAGTAGATGGAGCCTCTATATCTTAATGGACAGACGTTCTCAGTTTTTGAGCCTCCACAACAACAACAACAAAAATCTGTCACTTGGCCTCCAAGCTCCTGGTAATGAGCTTCTCTTAATGTAGCTAGGACAATTTTCCAAACTGAGGACTCCCAATACATTTCCAAAAGGAACTCTAGGTCATTCCAGCTATGGAGAACTTGACAAATGCTCTGACCATCTAGAAGAGCCAGGGTTCTTTCTGCACTATGATGAGCCATCTAAGTATGATCTTATCAGAAGCCCTTCTCTAATCCTGAGCTCAGTGATTATGTCCCCAACTTTGCCGGGCTTTATGTTGGGACAGCATAAAAAGAATGCTATTTCTCTTTAAAAGTATAAATGCAGATAGGGATTTTAAAATATCATTCAAGAGAGAAAAGACTTTGTTGAATGACAAAGTGGATAGTGGACAGTGCTCAGCCTTGGTATCTTCAGAATTGCTTTGGCATTTAGAAAGATGTTAGACTCTTTAAGACTCCCACACCATGTTCATGCACTTCACCATCCATTAGTTCTCTTCACTGTGAGTGAAATTAAGGATTTGGACCTCATGTTTGACAAGATTTTGTGAAAGTGAAGGATTTTAGCTCTCACATTAGCCAAGTTAATTAATTAGTTTAGTCTATTTTAAATGTAGTGTAAATGGACCCAAAGGGGAGTCCAAAAGAAGGATTTCACTGTCATAGACTGAGGAACTGAAGCAGTTATTTAAACTTGAGACATTTTCCACCTTTTCTTTTTCTCCTGATGGCATCTCACTTTAGCAATATTAGTCAATCCAATTGTCTCTGGAGATGCTATTTGCTCTTCAATAATATATTCAGGAAGGGATCAAATCATCTAAGGACTTCCCATATTTATTGTGTCTTAATGGAAACTACATAAAATGATTGGGCCAAACGTCCTTTGGGGTGGCCACAGGCCAAAGAAATGACTTGACTTTTTTTTATATAATGATGTAAGGAATACAATAAATACAAAGTAAGCTGACAACATTTAGAAAGTTTTCTCCTGTGCTCCATGTCCTCTGCTCAGAGCCAAGGGAGATATAAAGTTTGTATAAGAAATGGTCTCTGCCTTCGTGGAATTCTTGAGGTCATCAATGAACATGGAAAAAAGAAAAGAGTCATATAAATCAGCCTATTCTTATGCAAAAAATAGAGAATTACAGGAAATCCTTGAGATGACATTTTGCCTAATTGCAGACAAATAGCTTTAAACAAGTTCAAAGGTATTTATTTCTCCAAGGCAGAAGTAACCTCAAAGATCAGTTTTGCGACTTTCTGGCTTTTCTGAATTAGGAACACTGGGTTACATTCAAACGTGGAAAGTGGAAGTCATGCTGTTTCTTCCTCTCCTGTGCCTATGGAGTTTTTCATTTAATAAAATATTTCCTGCCAACACACAGTAATTCTAGAAGGATCAAAGCAATTAGAAGAAAACATTAGCTTCTGTTTACTTGTGGATGCAAACCAGCCCTGTGGTCAGAGCAGAAGTTGTTTTCCTAAAGGCAGAAGCGTTTCCGTCTGTTAGAAAATACAGCCCGAGAAGATTTTGCTTCCACCAGCCTGCCATGATTCTTGACCCTCTCTTATGATTGTTTGTTGTTGTCATATTGTTTGCTTTTCCCCTGGTGGTTTTTATAGATGATGGTTGTTGCTTTAGAAGATGATCAATGACATCATAGGTGGTACCAATGAGTGATGGTAACCTATATCTAGTTATTCTCTTCAAGAAGTCATTGAAATAGTAAAATCTGTTCCCTTTCCCTTCAGATTCATCAGCTCCTATTCATATGTCATAGATTCAGAGCTGGAAGGGATCTTAGATCTCATCTAATCCAACTCCCCCATTTCATGGGTAAGAAACCTTAACCCTAAGAAGGGAGAGTGACTTATATGACTAGCAATGCTGAGATTTGAACCCAGGTTTTTTGAATCCAAATCCTGTCCTCTTCCCTTCTCTCTCTTTCCATAAGCATGTGTATTTACAAGCACCCTCATTTATGGTATACATCCACATGCAAAGTTGAGGGATACAGGGAGCAAAGAATGGGGTTGGGGATTGGAGGGGGAGAGAGAGAGAGAGAGAGAGAGAGAGAGAGAGAGAGAGAGAGAGAACCCTTTTCTAGAATTTGAAGTTAAACTCTGTGACTCACTTGAACAAAATAGAATAAGATAGAATGAATGAAATTTAACTTTTATTAATGTGGATCTGGCTTGGGAGTGAGAGGAGCTGAGTTCAAATCCAAGCTCAGCCACAAACTGCCTGTGTCACCTTCTGGGCTCTTCAGGTCACAATCTGTAAATGAGGGATTTGTGTGGTTTGCTGGATCTCCATCAGGTCTCAACCAGTCAATCAACAAGTAATTATTAAGCAGTTTACTAGGAGATTCCCTTCATCTCTCTAGTTTTGCTAACTATCTATCCATCGACCTGCCTTTGAGGGAAAAGAGCATCTCGAGAAAATTTCCCTCTGGAAAAGAATCATGTTCTCAGCTTCCCAAGGTTAACAGGCTAACACAGGGAGTGTGCTATGTCAACACACAGGATTCAATTCTTTAAAAGACTGTCAGCAGACTGAGTTTTCCGCATAGCTTTAACCTCATTACAGAATGGAAAACAAATGTCATGAAGTCCAAATGGCTAAGAAATGTATAAGATTTTTTTTTAACTATACATGCCTGAAACATACACTCAGGCTGTGGAGTCACTGATTTTTATTCATGTTTATTTCCACTTGAGAGTTCACTCTCTCAGTTTTTTTTTGACTGTCTTTTTGCTTTTTCTCTGTCAGATCTTTTACTGTCCCCTGGCACTCATCATCCCTCCTCCGGTGTATGCTGTACATCTCCAGTTCAATCTTCTCTACCAGTTTTGGATACACACTGAGGTAAATACTGTTTTAAAACCTCTACCTAAACAGCTGGCCTGAGGCAATGTCCTGGAAATCTGCTAGCAACTGATTTATTGTGTAAGAAAAATCTTTGTCTGCTTTCTTTAAGGAAAAACAGCTGTTCATTTTTATTTCTCTTGCAGAATATATATTGCTAAGTTTATAAGAAGCAATGAGGCCAGTTGGTCCCAATTAAATAAAACCATTTTTGAACTATAAAGTATCAAAAACATTTTAATACCAGATTTTAATATGAGTGTGTGTTGTATTGTAGCTTATTGAGTATGGTAAGAGGAAGGATACTGAAATTCCTTTAGTCCTAGAAATAGAAATTCCAATTAGAAATATCTTTTTATCCACAATGAAACCTTTAATCAGAAGTATCAGAATATTTCGAGGAAATGGTAAGCAGAAAATTGGAATCATACCGATTGTGGTATTGTGAAGATTTTCGAATTGTCTATTTGTGTTGTTCATAAACAGTATTCCAACTTATTGGGGGGCATCATAAAAACATTATATGCATCAGAAGAGTGACTTCTGGGCTAACATATATGAAAATAAAACTGTAATCCTAAGCCTTTACCTTGGGATGAGTTGGTAAGGTTTTACAGTCACTAATGCTTGGTATAAAAGTGAAAAATCTCCTGCACCAGAGTCATTAAAATGACAAATAAAATGACTACAGTCTGAAAGCTGCAAACTTTTGCCTTTTACACACAGGCACCTTTTCACACTTTTGTTATTTATTAGAAAAAGAGTTGGTGATTCATTGAGAATTCCTCTGACAGGTATACAGATTTTCTTTGACAACGTGGGTTCAGACAAAATGGTCTCCATGGTGTCTGTAAGCTCTCGCACTCTTGAGTCCCTGCTCCTATCAGCACAGGTGGAAATGCGATTGTGACAAAAAAAAAAACCTGACGAGAGTACTGATTGTTGTTGTTCTTCGGTCATTTTCGTTGTGTCTGGCTCTTTGGGACCCTATGGGGGGTTTTCTTGGTAAAGATAATGGATTGGTTTGCCATTCTCTTCTCCAGTTCATTTTACAGATATGGAAACTGAGACAAAAAGGGTGAAGTGATTTGCCCAGGGTCAAGAACTAGTGAGTTTCATGGACCAAATTTGAAGTTGGGTCTTCCTGACTCCAGATCCAGTGCTCTATCCACTGCATCACCTAGCTGCCCTGCATATGAATAGATAAGATTTTGTCCTGAATGACCTCTTGACTTTGTTTTCTTCACGTTATTCCCACCCCCCCCCCCGAAATCAGGCTACAATAAAAATCACCTTGAGGAGGGAATCTTAATGATGGCTGACACTGATGTAGCACTTAACATTTAGAATGGGATTTATGTCTGATTTTGTCCTCATAATAGCCCTGTGATTATTATTATCCTCATCCCCATGAGGAAATGGAGCATCAGAGAGGCAACATGACTTATTCTTAGCCACACAGCAAATAGGTGACCTGGAGAGGATTTGAACCCATATCTTCTTGACTTCCAATCCTGAATTCTATTTATGTGCTGGAATCTTTATCCTCTTTCCTCATCTGCTCTATTTTTAGGACCCTAAAAAGTTCACTTGATTCTTTTCTTGTTTAGTGATCTTTAATTAGCATAGATATCTTTCATTTCGCTTCATTTTCTTCCTGAAATTCCAAAGGCCTTTGGATCACATTCTGTGATATTCTCCTTACAATCTTAATTCCTTCAATAAAAAAAGTGAACTATGCTCATAACCAACCCACCAGATGCCTACTTTGTGAGGTATTCAATTCTGTAGCTGTAGCCATGACTAGATGGTGACGGGGCACTCAAAAATTACCATTTGAATTCTTCCATGTCAGTCAGTACTTACTGGGAAATCCCTTGTTGCTGGGGTTGTTTCTAGTTTATTTGACTTAATTTTGCTAATTGAAGAGGATGTCCAAGTAGTCATCTCAATATTTCATGATCTGGTGAGCATTTGGAGTTGAGAAAGTGCTGATGGAGGTGACAAAGATTTCTGCCTAATATGACCAGAAGAAATATTTAGAGTCAAGATACTGCTCTAAATTAGTCCACCTGGGATATTTCCAGATGAACAAATAGTAATTGAAGACCTTATGGATCATCAAAGATATATGCACTTCCCTTCTCTCCTCATTCCCTTCTACATAGGGCAGTGGGGCTGCTATGCCCAGAAATCTCCAATCATAGGCATTGATTGGAGGGCAACTTTCTTGCTTCAGCTTGTTAATTTCTTGTCCACTAACATCTTTCTCCCTATGATGACCAGTTTAATTGGGCCATCTCCAGTTTTCCCAATCTTTATCTTGCCACTGGACCCAGATAGCTCTGGAGGAGAAAGTGAGGTTGGTGACATGCACAGCCCTCCCTCACTTAATCACTTGAAAGTCATGATATCACCTCCGTGATGTCCTAGTCCTCTTTGAGAAGGGAGGACAAACAATAACAACAACACCATCACTGCCACCACCACCAACAATCCATTCAGGGCAGCTGGATTTCAGGGGACTTAATAGGGCAGGCTTTATTGCTTCTCTGATCCTGGAGAACTATCTAGGAACATCTCTTCTATACTCCAATGCAAAGGAAAACGGGTGTGATTTTTCTCACACTCCCAGGATCCTTGGAATATAGAGCTAGAGTTGTAGGGGATTTTAGGGGTTATTAGGTCCAATCCCTTCATTTTACAGGTAAGGTGACTGAGGCCCAGAGAGATAAAAGCAAACAAACAACACTTTGAGGAAGCAAGGATCTCTTCCCAATTTGGGGAGAGTTGTAATGGAATTTGGAATAGTTCAAAATATCCATTTTCCTTCTAGCTCCTTTTTTCTAGGGCTCTATTCCCTGCCTTTTATTTTTCTTTTCACTGTTTCCAGCTTTAGGACATAAAATACAACTTCTCAAGGTTCCGCAGGCTGTGGCCTGGAGGAGAAATCCAAGAGCTGCAGAAAGCTAGCAAAAAAGTGGTTTGGTCCATAGTCATGCTACTTGGAATATTTTCTCCAGGATTAAGGGTTTTTTGTCTCAGCAGCAGATAACTTATGGGCTAAAATGAATAGCAAGAGAAAAGGGCAGAGAAGTGACAATGCAGCTAAGAATGGGACTTTGAGGAGAGGATTGGGTGCCTATAACCAGCTCTTCCCTCCAGGGAAGCCCAAGCCCACTAAAAAGAAAAAGAATGAAAGAAAGGAAACCAACCCTAAAAGCTATGTGATACCCATAGCAATTAAATCCAACTGATAGATGATCATGAGTCATTGTACTTCTAGACCAAGGGAGCGTGTAGAACATAAGTCCAGGGAAGCTTTCTATGATTTTTTATGTGGCCATCATCCTCTCCCCATATTTTAATGACCCATAGAGACATCTAGGCATTGCAGTTTTGTCTCTCTCAAGAAGTAAAATGCCTGGGCTTTTTGAGAGCCAGTCTACTTTTGGCAGCTTCTAGATCTTTTTCATTGGTTTCACAACACCCAGTATGTTCCAGGTGGTTTCAGTTGCTGGGATTCTGTCTACTCAATAAGTGGACTTGAGCTATAATCACAATCAATTGTCATGTAACATATATCACATGGATGTGAATCTATATTTTTTTGGGGGGAAGGTCTCCAAATCTAGGAGTTCATTTATAAAGAGAAGTACCCCTTAATGGAAATATATCTCTCTATATCTATATCTGTATCTATATCTATATCTATATATCTGTATCATCTATACCTATCTATGTCTATGTCTATATCTCTGTCTGTCTATCTATCTATCTATCTATCTATCTATCTATCTATCTATCTATCTATCTATCTAAACAATTCCAAAGTAACTTAATCTTAGGGAGTTACTGGAGCCCTGAGAGCTTAAAGGATTTCTTTCCATTTAGTCATTATGGGTCAAAAGCAAGACTGAATCCAGCTCTTGTGACTATGAAGCTCACGAAAGATGCTTGGCATATAGTAGATACTTGAGAACTGTTTATGAACTGATTATTGACTGAAGGACAGCTTTTTATATCTACTGTACCATGCTGCCTCTCCAGTGGATATGTATGTGAGGCTTTGGTAGGGAATAGAAAATCCATATAAAAATAATGCAAGATAGTAATAATAATAATAATTCATATGACATGCAGAAGGAGTTTAAATTTTGTAAAGTGCTTTAAATAGATTATCTCGTTTGATCCTCAAAATATCCTTGTGAAGTAGTTATTATTTCCCACCCTTTACCAATGGAGTAGTTGAGGTTTAGAAAGCTGAAGTGCCTTGGTCAGTTTCATATAACTAGTAAGTATCTGAGACGAGTTACAAAGAAAAAAAAAAGAAAAAAGAAAACACATCTTCGTGACTCAAATTTCAATTCTTTATCTACTATGTGACAATATAATGACCCTTTCAATGCCCTACTCACCCATCTTCACAGAAATTCATGAGTTCTTTAGTGAAGTAGCAAGATACAAACTAAATACACCTGACAACCACAGCATTTTTTTGAAAGAGAAATTCAATTCAAAATAAACACAAAATGCATAAAAGTTTTGGTAATCCATCTGTCTATCTGTCTCTGTCTGTCTGACTCTCTCTTCCTCTATGTGTGTGTCTCTCTCTATATTATATATGTGTGTGTGTGTATATATGTATACACACATACATATATGTATGTGTGTGTATATATGTATACACACATATACATATATGTATGTGTATAAATAATTACAAAACATTTAGAAGAAATAAATGAAGATAGTTTTGGAGGGGTATTCAATATTCATGGCTAGGTTGTACCAGCAGACATTAATTATAAAAATATGAAAGTTACAAGTACATATTTCTGCTGGTTTAGTTCAGAAATAAACTTTAAGTTGAAAAAATGATAATTCTGCCTAAATTAATTTACCTTTAGTACTACATCAATCAATAAGATATTATATAACTAGATTACTTAATAACAAAATTTACTTGGAGGAGGTAAAAGGGCATGACCTACTAAGGG